AAAAGTTCGATGCAAAGAAGAAAAAAGTTCCCTGCAAAGAAAAAAAAAGTTCGCTGCAAAGAAAAAAAAAGTTTGCTGCAAAGAAGAAAAAAGTTCGCTGCAAAGAACAAAAAAGTTTGCTGCAAATAAAAAAATGTTCGCTGCAAACAAAAAAATGTTCGCTGCAAACAAAAAGAAGCTGCAAAATACGATGGCCCTTAACGGGCTCCATACATTTGTGCCAAGCGATGCTTCAATAACTTTTATTGTACTTTCTTGAACACCGTAAGCAACATCATTGGCGCGAAACGACTTTCAATAGCGATATCTAAATACGCGCGAGCATTCAACAGTATCAATTGACAATCAACTGAAAGACTGGACAATCATTTGGGTGGAACGTTGTTTCATGTGCGCGCAATGAAAATTCAATAGCACCAATTGACAAATGGTTGCATTTATTGACAATCATTCAACCAAAAATGAAACTTCATTAGTGTTATTAGCATAAACATAGGCAATCTATAGCGCGTTTGGACAATCATAGTCATTCGAGAATGCATTCTTTAGTGCGTTTTGACAATCATTTGAGCGATATACGGTGGCATGGGTGGCCTAGTGGTTAAGCTACTGGCCTCTCACCGCTGTGGTCCGGGTTCGATTCCCGGGCACGGACCATATGTGAGTTTGAGTTTGTTTGATGTGTTGTTCTCTCCCTTGCCACGAGGGTTTTTCTCCGGGTCCTCCGGTTTTCCTCCCTCAGTAAAAATCAACATGTGAGGAGTGTTGTGTGCTAAAATACTTGATGTAGAGGTAGTGAGTGTGAGAGTACAGGCCCCCATTTAAACCAGCCTACGCTGAACTGGGTGGCCTGGTAAAAATATCGAAATATCGATTATAAATATCGATTCAAAATACAATAGCACAAAAGAAAAAAAAGGCACTTAAAAAGCGCATGTGGTTACTCCAAAAACTGTTGTTATGAATATTTTGAGATTTTAATATTATGCTGTGTGCAGGAATGAATATTTAAGTAATTTAAAAGTTGACGATCTGATTTGGGAATTGCTGCAAATATGTTGGTGTCAGGGCAGACAGGTTTCAAGTCTTGGGACAGGTGACAGTTAACTGATGACATGTTACCTACTAAAATTACAATTGCTTTTAAGGAGTGTGAGAAAGTAGAGTGCTCGCACTTAAAGCGTGAAACAAATAGTACTAATNAAAAAAAACATTATCAAGTGAGAAACTAATTAAACAAAACAATGAATGTGTATATTGAATATAACATGAGAATAAGACTTTTAAAAATGCATTATTATCATTGCCACATGATTGCAATTTCTCCTATGTACAGTGCATTGAAAATTTTGAAGTATATTTGACAATTGACAATTTTCTTTTGCATTTTTACTAATTAAAATTAGTAAAATTTTGTGGAATTTTCTTCCAAAATATTTGACAAACAATATTTTAGGTTTATGAAAAAGCTTTGAGATTAATATCAACATTGTGTCAATGTGTCTAGTAAAGTAGATATCGAATATGATAGTAAAACAGCAAACGATTTACATTGGCCTACATTGTTATGATAATTGGTTTCCCGAACAAAGTTTGAGTCTGCCGAAGCAGAGTTTGAGTCACATATCTGGTCTCCCAATGGAGGTTTTGGTCCCCATTTCCGGGTTTATTCATTCCCCTGAGGGATGAAGAACGCCATATGGTCAGGACTGACGTTTGTTGGCAAACAAACCGCGTAATAAAGCGCCCAAAAATCTGAAATATTCTTTAGAAAAAAAACAAACTTACAAATGCATAAAAAGTTGTACCTAGCTCTTGCCACGTAAAAGAGTTTKTATTCATTGTTTAAAAGAAGTTTACAACTAAACTTCGAAAGCGAGTCGAGTCAGAAAAGCTACAGTAATATAATTCGATACCGCTGACACACACTACTGGAGGACAATGTGTGAAATAGATGTGAAAAAAGTGTGAAATGTATGTGAAAAAAATAAGCATGTGAAATGACATGTGAAATATTGCATGTGAAATATTCAACCATGTGAAAAAACATGTGAAAATGTTTCAAGAATTTCACATGCATGTGAACAAATTCAAATCCTTACAGAACCATGTGAAAAAACATGTGAATTTTTTTTAAGAATTTCACATGCATGTGCAAAAACTCAAATCCTTACACAACCATGTGAAAAAACGTGAAATTTTTTTAAGAATTTAACATGCATGTGAAAAAACTCAACGGCTTACACAAGCATGTGAAAAAAACATGTGAAAAAGTATACAGAATTTCACACGCATGTGAAAAAACTCATGATGGAGCACAGCCATGTGAAAAAAGACGTGAAAATTGTGGATCGAAATTTCACATGGATGTGAAATCACATGGGTGTGGAATGGTTAATAAAACCTAAAGAAATATTTCGCATGCACACCCTTGGGAAACTTGGTAAATGCATACATATTTCGATCAACACAGAAAAAAAATTTTTTGTGTTTGCTCCAGAATATAAAATTCCTTAAAAATTAACATTTTAAAAACTATTTCTGACATTTCTGCTACACGGGTTCTTCAAAACAGTGCGCCATTTTGTTTCATACTAGATGAAAGGTCGAACATACTCATAATTTTATATACACCTATTTCAAAAAGGTTGTCGGATGAAATTGGCGAGCGGCGCTATTGACACTATTGTTGATAAACTCGTCCCATAAAAGTGACATTACTTGAATTTTCTTTATGTTTTTAGACTTTACAACACAAAGACAAAATTTTGTATTTTGTTGATTTTAGTTGTTGTTTTGTTTTATTTTATTCTTCTTCTTTTTTCAATCAATTTTTACTTTATTTTATTGTAGTTCCTATAGTTTATGAGTCCTTCTTAATCAAATTTTACAAATCGATCGTACTCACACAGAATATTTTCTCTTTTTTATTGTTTAATTGTATTTTAATTGTCAAATAAGAGTATCCGAAGTTCCTTTTGGTTGTACAATCGCCATTTGCCATTTTCAATTCGCCAATTTCATCCGACAACCTTTTTTGAAATAGGTGTATGGTATTAATAAGTCTTATAGTATATATTTCTTATTCAGTGTAATATAGCAGAAGTCATACATATAAAGAAAGGAAAAGGCCAAAACTGATAATTTGAACGACCTTTTTTTTTAATAATTGGATTAAAAGAAAGATTTTATTTACAAACCAAATCTAAAAATACGCTAAATTATATACAATTCCTTAATGATATAAATATATAATAGTAGTATGATCAATGAYAAAAATGTTCTATATACATATAAATACGGGTTTTGAGATATTAAAAGAAAAAAAATGATTTTAAATATAGAATCTACTAAGAAAAAACGAATTATAATATTAAATAGAAAGTAATAAAATTTATGCTAAAATGTCTAGACAATATCTGCATTAACACTGTTCAATTTAAAGTCACTATTTAACTGTCTGTTTTTAAAAGGTATTCGAGATCCTCTTATACATAAAATGGCTGATCTCAGAATTTCAAAGCTTAGTCTAGTGCGCACCCATGTCATGGTGTCAGCATACGACTCTCCTGTTTTAGAGGCCAGTTTCTCAGCTAAGTTCTTTAGGAATAGCTGGCACTCATTCCTCATTCCTCCATTTGTACCAAAAACCAGTGGTGTAAAAGTACCCATTTCAACATCTAGTATTCTTTGCTGGTATTTCCTTTTCTTTTCTTTTTCTTGCTCTCTGAAGATTGTAGCCGTGGTCTTGTTTGTGTTGCTAGAGGAATTGACATGCGTCACACGAACGTCAAAAAATGCAGTCACTCCTCTATTCCAGAAGCCACCAGCTTTAATGTCGAGCCTGGCCTCATTACTAGTGTTCGTAGATCGCAAATCGAACATCTCACCATCCAGTGGGATAAGGTGTGGTTCAGCTTCAACATTGTTGCAAACTTTGTTGAGCAAGCCAGTAAGTAGATCTCGAACTCCGTCGTGTCTTTGTACTACAAATCCACCCTTTTTGCAAGATAGGGCGTGATTTACTGAAAATACTGAACCACAGGTGCAATAGCTTGGTAATTCTGTCAACGGTAGGTTGTAGCGTAGACGCAGTGAGTCTCTAAATTCTTGCTTGTTTAGTGATAGCCCTTGTTCTTTTATTGGCAATGAGTTAAGCCACGAGCTTGCTCCTTTATCCCTGGCTTGTTGTACAAAAGGCAATAGATCAGGTGGTAGCGTTGCGTCTATTTGATCCACTCTGTCTTTCAAACGTGCCGACTTCATTGATTGCTGTTGTTTTTTCAGTTCCTCCTCTTGATTTGGCATCGTCGTGCTTTGTTGCTTGATGGCCTGAACATGAGGAGTTGATATCTTCACAGATGCTTCAAACTGTAAGGGGGCTTCATCTCTGAGTGATTGAATACCTAAGCCTCCTTGTGATGGTGGTAGAATGATGATGTCAAGTAAGTTCTCTGGTAAGGGCTCTTCCTGTCCGAGAAGTGTAGGCATCAGGGTTTCAAAGATAACCTCTTGAACGGGATCTGTGTATTCAGCTAGAGATTCGATTGTTCTCATATAGAAGTTAAACTTTGATTTGTAACCTTTCGTATAAGCAATGTATGCTGCGTGTGGATAGCTTTTAGCGATTTCAGATAGTAGTGTAAGCTCTTCTTCCCATTTGGATACCTTTTCGTTGCAGTACTGGTCTTTATAAGACTTTGATCCAATTACCACCCCAAGATGGCGCTTCCCTTCGGTTGTCACATTTACTTCTCCTTTAAACACAGAATTTGCCTCAGTCAATAGTTCTTGTGACTTAACAATCAGCCAGCTTTTGGAACCATTTACAAGATACCCATATTTTAAGCCTTCTCTCTTGAGATGTTCGTACCATTCATGAAGTACTGAGAYCACACCTGCTCCAGYGGAGTCATCCSCAAACCATACTTGCTTGATAGTTGGTAGAGTCATACGCAACGTATTAATGATCAACGATGTGTTAATTCTCCTTACCCATAATGACGTCACGGAATTTCCGGTTAGGTGCACTATGGGATTGATAAATGTATCAAAATGGCGGATGTAAACAAGTTTCGTGACTTTTAGACTGAACAAAATGCCGGCGAATTGCTGCGTCCCTGGTTGTTATGCAAACAGTAAGCATTACGTATTGATAAGTTTTAATAATTTTCCGTCCAATAAAAAAAAGTTTAAGCTTTGGGACCGTCTTACAAGAAATAATTTTTTGCCTAAAAGACCTATGGTTTGCTCGCTGCATTTTGTCGGTGAAGCAAAAACTTACGATATGTCGATAAACCAACCATTTTTCCATGGACCGATGAATGGTACACTGTAGTCGCTGAGTATAATGCTAGAGTCACAGAATGGTTTAAACAGAGAACAAAAGACGGTCACAACTACTCAAAGTGCCCACGAAAACTCAAGTACGAAAGCCAACGTAAACCCGCGAGGCGGTCAACGAAGACATCTCTAAGAGCATCCCTGCAGGTCAGTTGGTTTAGCATATGTTAAATTGTAATGATAACCTTAGATAATTATATTAGCCCAACGACAAACATTCCCACTTTACCGAAGCATAGAGCAAGAAGCTTACAAATAAGCTTACTTAAACTTATAGACGTAAATAATAACAACAATATTTTTGTATTTAGGAAGCCATTTCACATGACGTGTGTGATGTACATGTACGACACGTACGAAGTATAGTTTAATACTTAGGTACATATGTGCTTCAAATGTTTAATCTAAGTTATTTGTTATTTGCTTTGTTTATAATGTAGCCAACTGATTTACTCGATTCATGGGCTAATAAGTCTACAATGAGTGTTGATGATCCCATTAATCCTGAGTCCTCTGCAGCTATATATGGTGTAAGTATTATCAAAATTATCATTATTTGTTTTTCAGCTAATTTTTTTATTTGATTATAACTTCATTATTTGATCTATATAATTTTGTGTTTATATATTGTTTACAGTCTAAGCCTCCTATTGATTGCATTGATGATATTGATAGCCCAATCCAGTATCCATCTACAAGTATTGTAAGTTAATCATAACAAATGTTTTAATATCCAATCAATTTGCACTTGCACTGTAAGACATTAGTGATTACTATTCTAAGAAAATTATTTAAAATTTTTGTTGTGTTTGTTTTTCAGTGTAATACCATTGATTCTATTGATGTTGGGTGTACTTCATCATCTGATTCTTTACCTATGAATAATGTAAGTTTTCTATTTATGACTTCTCTCAAAGGCACAGTAATTTATAAAAAATAGTACATAATTGTACTGCCATTTAAGTTCAGGCCAACATCATATATGATGTTGGTGGTAATAGGTCAAATGCTTAAGAGGAAAGCTTTAATATTCATTTTTTCTCTTTTAGAATGCTAATGTTGTCTACTATCAAGATACCCATCTCCTTGTTAATGACCAGCTACAAACAATTCTGTCTGAGATTCAGAAACATCTAAACCAAAAGGCAGACCCAAAAAGTGACACTTATCTACAAAAGCTTCTTCTAACAGTGATACTCCTACTTCAAAATGTGAAAGAACTCTATGACACTATAAGGGAACTAAACATGGTGAGCAAATTCTCTCTGCAAAAGTTCTATGGAAGTGACGAAGACATAAGATTCTGGACTGGATTTCCATCACATTCAAGTCTACTGTATTTCATTGACCACTTTGTGTTGCCCAATGCTATGAAAATAAAATACTGGAGTACACATTATAGGGTGGATGAAGAAGATGGACTACATGATAGGGATAGATGTGGACCTAGAAGGAGTCTGAGACCAGAGGAAGAACTCTTTCTTACCCTTATTAAGTTAAGAAGAGGCTCAGCAAATGAAGATCTGGCTGAGAGATTCAACATCTCCTCCTCACATGTATCAAGAATTTTTATTACATGGGTTAATTTCCTGTATCGCTTACTTACAACAATTGACATATGGATGAGTCACAAGAAGGTGAAAAGGATGCTCCCTCAGTCCTTCAAAGGCCTGTATGATGATGTGATTGTTGTACTGGACTGTACAGAAATGGAGTGTGAAAGACCATCAGACCTAGAGTTACAAGCAGCGACATATTCTAGTTACAAAAGCCGTAATACTGTTAAAGGACTTGTTGGTATTTCACCTAATGGAATACCAACATTTGTTTCTGATGCAATGGAAGGATCAGTGTCAGACAATGATATTACAGTAAAAAGTGGTCTACTGGAAAAGTTGCCAAAGGGTTGTGCCATCATGGCAGATCGGGGCTGGACAAACAAGGATGCTCTGGCTAGACAAGGAGTTCGACTTGTCACACCTTCATTTCTAATGGGGAAAAAGCAGTTTGATTTACCTTCCCTTGTAGAATCAGTAGCTATAGCAAGAGTCAGAATTCACGTAGAGAGGTATTTTCAAATAATGATTTCATCAATTTATTGTAAATCTAACAGTTTGCATTTTACATTCATATAGTGGTATTTTGTTTTTATTAATATATGACCTACACTGGGGATTCCCATAGCTCCACCAATAAGAAGTACAACTTTTTTTTGAAAATGATCAATTCTAATTGGTTGAGCTGAGGGATACTTTTACATAAATAAAATACCATGAGCAAAGTTGACAATAATATTAAAAGTTAAATATGCTACTCATTACATGTAATTTTCCATGAATACTATGGAAGTAATGTCAAGCAGTAAAAGCATATAATTAATTATTACAATTATTATATTATTATTAAAGCTATACTATACTAGCTTCTTAGTATATACTAAACAATTATAATAGTATGCAGTAACTGTATAAAAGCTCTTTTTTATTCAGCCATATTTGTGTGTAATTTCTGTACTTATTCCTAGATGCATGGGGCGTATCAAACAATGGAAAATTCTAAAGCACACCTTACCACTAACCGAGTGGAGAATCATTAACCACATTTGAAAGGTCTGTGTCTACCTTGCGCTATTCTGGCCGCCACTTGTTGATGACCTTTCAGAAGAGTAGCTGTCAATGTTTTTGAAAGCACCACAGGTCTTCAAAAACTGAGCTACTGGAAATTTTTGTAGTGAGCTTGATAATAATGGCGGCAATAATAATAATAATGATAATTATAATAATAATAAAAAGTATCAATCTTACAAATGTACTCTTACCAAATAATTGTTACTGTGCAAATCTTTGCAAAACAAGTGCAGGGATTACATATGTATGGTGAAAATCCAGAAGTGTCTCTCTTGTATGCTCCCATAATTCCTCATCAAATGAGAGTTTAATATATTCTACCGGAACTGAAGCATTAGTGAAAACTACCATATATCCTGTATGGGTTTGAGTGACTGCCATTTGCATAAGCATCTGATAATAATATCTGTGTGTTCTTTTTAATGTTAACTTCCCACTGCTTTCACGGAAGGCAAAGTTTGAATCTCGTTGTTTAACTCTAGTAGCCTCCAAAGGGGTTAATTCTTTTGAGGCAGACAAACATTTCACCTCAACAGTAACAATCTCATCATCAATCATACCCACCATATCAGGAGAGGCAGCTAATTGAGGATCATCTATAGACACAAAAAGTCCACATTTTCTCAGTTTAAAGTTAACTCCATCACCAGATAATTGTTGCTCAAGTTTATTAACTGCGACATCTTCATTATCAATACCATATTGCATGTGTAGAGATTTAGGTTTTGATCTTGGGTTTCCCACTGTTGTGATCTTTTTGACTATTTTGCTGGGGTCTCCCTTACCTACACAGTCTTTACAAATGCTAGCAGTGATCCTTCCTTTTCTCTGTCTGTGCCACTCCAGGTTGGTATGTTGGCCCTTTGTTAATATTTCAATTTCATCAGCCTCTTGTTGTGTATGTACTTCAAGAGATGCCATTATAATTTCTTCTGGTGTCATATTATTAGTAGGAATGCTGTCTTCCTGAGATGAGCTTGATGTTGATTGCAAAATATAGTTCAGCCCCATATTATGGCTAACATTTTCTTTGTCTTCTTTCAATTTCTTGAAGTCAATTGTTGGACTGGACACTGATTTATAATCTTCGTATCCTTCTAAAGGATCTTTTCTCTCCTTCTGCCTTTTGAAAACATGTTTTTCCGGGTTGCGTACTCCTATTGTATCATGAAAAAGAAATATATAGATGTTAGTTTTAATGCACATATATTATATTTATCATCATAACACATTGAATTTAGAGGTTCTATGAAATGAGTGTTTCATATGTAGAAAATAGTTTCAATTGAAAGAAATTCCTATTTTAATACACTTACCAGTTTTTTCTGCTTTTGTGTTACGCTTCCTTGACCTTGATGGGAGATGCCACTCTTGTGGTTTGCTTGTACAACTTCCTCGTTGAGAGTCCCTAAACTCTACCAAGGCAAACAAAACTGCAGCTATGTGGTTACATTTCCCGCCAGCCCCTGCCACACAAGTACATTGTCCTGTGATCACCACAGATGAGCTCCTCTCAAGCACAATTTTTGATAAGTATATGTCATCCTTCATGCTTGCCATTACTCGTCCCCACACGTGACAGAACTCTCCAGTACAATTCACCTGTAGATTTAAATAAATTTAAGAGGTTAGTAACCACTGAGGAGGTAAACGTGTGTTTAGCTGTTGTCCGCTATAAGAAAAGCTCAATTTTGATATAGAGAATTTTTATATAATAATAATTTAATATTATTTCGATTATTTTTTGCTTGTAATACACAAACACAACAAGAAGGATAACATACTTTTATCTCCTGTATATGGCCAGATGCATAAAAATTAAACCCTTTAGTAAGTGGTTTTTCTGCTATTGGTAGGTTATACGTTCCATATTGTTTATCCTTTTCCAAGATCACCACGTTTCTCTTTTCAAGGTATTCGTGTACACAAGTATAATTGAATAAATTAGGAATGTCTTCTAAGGAACTTGACCAGTTTGCCAACAATGGCAATGAGACTTTTCGCACAGTTGCGTTAACGTGACTTTGGATTATGTCGTAACTAAGATTTTGATCTGGATCAACAATATATTTTGCGTATCCAGACGCCACAATATCTTTAACCCTAGCAGAAATTACACAAAGAAATACATTTGTTATACACACAGTTGATACTAGGTTAGTTTAATAACTTATAACGTACAAGTRAAACTTTACGGATATTTTTTCATTCAAACTTTTCACTGTAAAAGGGTCAATTGACCAGCTTCTCTCGACTTCTTATAAAAAACGAAGCTCGCTATAAAGTTCATTTGCTTATCGGACTTCAATTATTGTTTACCTTTTGACAAGACTGGTCTTTGAATCAGAAGTTGAACCACTTAAACCCCGGGTATGTAGATACCGCACCAAATCGCTGGCCATGTTGTCCTCTATCACGGGCATTGGCAATTTTGCTCCAKGAACGTCGTCTTCACAAAACCTCAACAGCACGTCCGCCATTTTAATTCATTTATCAATCCCATAGTGCACCTAACCGGAAATTCCGTGACGTCATTATGGGTAAGGAGAATTGAATACCAAGGCATCGCTAGAGGATCACCATGAGTAGTTCCTTCTTGAGAATTTCACTTCCTCCTTGAACAAAAAGCCTTGAAGGATTCCTATATGTGTTGATCAGGTATAAGGACATTTCGTTACAGATGATCCGTATATTATGTAGGGCRGCTGATCGRTTMATYTGATTAAACGCATTGCTTGCATCAATCAGCAAAATTCCATCGGTTTCTTCTTCAATAAAGATTTCCCCCATGGCGTGGATGGCTGCTTCGGCTCCGGCACTGTATCATGCACATACTTGAAGGGGACCGGCTGCTTCTTTGATTTCTTCTTTGAAGAAGRCAGAGATGGTTTTGCCTATAATTCGTCTGAGTACCTCACCGACTCCTATWGGACGTACCCCAGGATTCTTGTCTAGCGGAATTAGTCTGCATGACGTAAAGCCCTCGAGTGGTGCAGGATGGTAAGATGTTTTCAGCAGATTTCTCGTCTTCTCTTAGCAGCTTTCCCTCTGAGTTAAAGTTCTTCGAGCAAAGTAATCTTCTGTACAGATCTGCATCCATACCCAAGGGGCCCGCAGATCCCTTTGTTCTCAGGGCTGATGTGTAAATCATTATCTCGTCGATTTGATCGAAGATGCTTGGTGGGAAGATGTCTATTGGCCCATGAAGCAGGGATTCCTTTGCAATTTCAGCGGGTGGTGGGTGCTTTGCTTTCAGCTCTTCCATCATTTCGGGTGACAATGGCAGTACTCCAGTAGAACTTTCCCGGTCGAGAAGCTTGATGGCTGCTGATAGTTTTCCTTGCATTACTAAATTTGCAAACATCTTTGAAATTTCTTCCACAGATTTGGCCTTCTTTAAGCTCTTCAGTTTACCCTGGATAAATTTCACTTCTTTCATAAGAACGTTCATCTCTCCTTGTCTCCACAGGGTAAGTCTGCGCTCAATTGCGATGCTATGATCTTTGCTTTTAGAAGTTGKTGATGGTTTCTGTAAAATTAGAGAGGGGAGCACCATGAACGCTTTCAGGGCGATGGAGTTGARGGCAGAGTTGGAGTTGAACTGCTTTAACCAAAAGGTTAGCTCAGATATGAACCTCTTTCCTGCTTTACCACTGGGAACRTTGAAAATGTTCCTTCTAAAATGAATTATCTGATCGTATATCTCGTTGATATTGGTGTGTAGTTCATCATAAGTTATGTTCCCCCACATTTGTTTGTTAAATTGAGACGGGAGAACTTCGAAATCAGGAAGATTTGGTTGAATTTCGCTCCGAATTTTTTCTTGCGTGGCTTGCCTATCTGATAGTAGATCYTTTGTTGTTTGAGAATTTGTAGTTTGTTGTGGCTGCTCATTGTTCGATAAAGTGAAGAGATGACTGTTTGAGATTAAAGTATTGTTGTCAGGCCATTCAGCTGTTTCCCTTGGGGGCTGTTGTGGGCTAGCAGTATGTAGATTTGATGTTAGATTTGGTTGAGTAGCTGCATATTGAGTCTCATTTTCGTCATTTTCAGGAAATACATCTTGTAAAAAAATAYTGCCATTTATTGAATTGCACCTTGTCCTTGATGCTGTTGTGCCTTTCCTGGGGTTTTTATTTTTGGAACCTTTAGGTCRACCTCRCTTTCTTGTTTGACTTGTTTCTWYGGGCTTATCCGTCGATAAAAGTGTTGTCGTCTCATCAACTTGTTTTCGTGGTCTCCCTCGCTTGCGACGGTTTAGATTTTCGAGGTTTTCTGAAGMCTCTGGTTCTTCAAAAATATCCATATTCACATTCTCGACGTTAATAAACCCTTACCAGTACTTCAGTGTGATTTACTTTGTAATAATTTGCAGTATGAGGAGGAAATTACGCTGATTTATGAGAGCTCCAAAACCCGTGACCGTATGGCCGCCATTCATTTTATTTAAAAAACAATATTGGCATAACTTTGGTTTATACACTGTAAACATAAAATATTAAAAGATAATTAAAAGATAAATTATTAAGTGCATCCTATTTACAAATGTTCGAGCGATCAACAGTCATTGATGATCAAAATTGAATTGACATAGGTTATACAATCATTTTATGGATTGTTGTCTTATTGCTCCTGTTGTATTCTATTTTTGTATTCTACTTCTTTTAGAAGTCGAAGTCATTAGCCCACAAGAAACGACGAAGAAAGGACGTAAATCGAGACATGCTCCACAACCGAAGGTAGAACATGTCAAAATAAGAATTCCCATCCCGAAACTGAATGTTTTCAGCTGAAATGTCTTTTTTTCTGAAGTTACATTCCAGCTCCTACAAARAAGGCGAAACAAGAGAAGGAGGTGAACTCACGTGACAGCTCTGTAAGAAAGTCTACAATCTACTGTCTCAGTACTGAATTTTTCATGGAGGTCCATCGCTGAAATAGCTTTGCGTTCATATTTTGTTTATCTTTTTAAGGAAGTGGCAAGAGACAATCATGAAACAGAGAGTGAGTCGGAGAATTTGGTGTTACAGGTAAATTTCTTTCAATCTTAGTAAAATACTTTATTAAAGTCACCTTTGCGGGACAATTAAGTAGTAATTAATTAGTAATTTCTACAGAAATTATTCATTAGTTTATTTTCTTATATAGACTGGAGGGTTTGTTGCAGTGGCATACACTACGCCACTCGAATTGTATATTGGAAAGGTTGTAGAGGCGGCAAGTGAAAAGCCCATCACCATTTCCTTTTTAGAAAAGGTTAAAGGAGGGATGGGCTATAAATGGCCTAAGAAACCTACTATTGAGGCCATTTACGAACACCAGATCTTCCAGAGGGATCTACTGCCAGCTATGGAAGGGCATATTTATAAGTTTGATCACGACCAGTTGACAGAAAAGTTTGAAAATTGCATAGAAAAACTTACGCAACTGGAACGTAAAACCAAGGTAGGCAGTTGTTCAACAGTTGGACCCTGGATTTTCAACTCATTCATTTTAAGGTTCATATGATTGTTTCGTTTAAATCTTAAAGATCGAGGCAGTCTGGGATGACACAGAGGCGCCATACCGGAAAGTGGGACGGGTGTGCTGGAAAGATTTTGCAGCTTAAAATGCCTCCAGTACACCAGTCACTAATGAAGACACAGTTGATGGCTAAGGGCTCAGACTGGCAAGCTGGGTACCTGAATGATGAGGTTGGTGAATTTGTATTTAAAATATAGTAAATATCATAACATATTCAACATTCAATAGTACGCGATCTTTAGCACAACGTAATCTTCCATCAAANTCTCAAGTTTTCAATAGATATTTTGTTTGTCACCCGAAGGTCAAGGGACTCGGCGACCAAATTTTAATATGCGGTATAGTCACTGTCATTTGTCACTCTAATTTCTAAGAGAAAAGACCTGCAGTGATCAGATGAAATCTTTGTAGTAGCTATTATCATTTGCTTGGTCGTAGATTTATAGACCTTAAATAGCTTGAGCAGTCGATCTGACAACATGCCACTATAGAAAAGCGCGCCAAAATTCGATTTGCTCTTTGTGCTAAAACGGCCACTTCTTGATCTAGTGATTCATTTTTTTAGATCTATAAATATACGTATGGTTTGATATAGGCACTAAATTATGTTATTTTTTAAAAGAGGCCATTTGCTTGGTCGTAGATTTATAGACCTTAAATAGCTTGAGCAGTCGATCTGACAACATGCCACTATAGAAAAGCGCGCCAAAATTCGATTTGCTCTTTGTGCTAAAACGGCCACTTCTTGATCTAGTGATTCATTTTTTTAGATCTATAAATATACGTATGGTTTGATATAGGCACTAAATTATGTTATTTTTTAAAAGAGGCCATTTGCTTGGTCGTAGATTTATAGACCTTAAATAGCTTGAGCAGTCGATCTGACAACATGCCACTATAGAGATATAGAAAAACGGCCACTTCAACAGAGTTCAAACTTGATCTAGTGATTTCTGCAGATCTATGACCACATACATCGCTACATGTATTTATGGTTACGAATAGCTGTGATCATGCGAGGTCTATTGGTAACTGATCAGTGTCTTACAGATAAAGTTTGTTCGCCCTTGATTTTTTTTATCATATCCGCAAATAGACCCAAATAGAAAGAACTTCGTGAAATTCGTGAAGTGACTAAGTGTGAAAGGAATTTGTAGAAAGTTTTAAAATATACTGAATTGATTGTGATTGTCTGATGTAAATAAAACCGCGGCAATCAGGGACTATATATTGTTGAGTTTGATCTCAATGAAAACTACATAAAAATATTTAGTGCGCACGGGAAATGTTATAAAGAGAAGAATGAAAAACCTGATATTATTCAGACCTTTTGTACATTCGGAAACATTCAAGAAAGTCGTTGGGTACTCAATTGTTTGTTCTTGACAAATCTGTCTGATTTGACGTTAATAATGATAATGCCTAATATTGGTCTGATCCAAACTACGACCGAAYAAATTTTTGTTTTGGCTGAACAACGCACCCTGTCCAGAAGGTGACAGAAATCTATATATCGTACATTCTACTTATTAATTAAGTTCAACAATCACTCATCAGTCTTGACATCGGCATTACGCTTTGCCTTTTTGACGATAAGGACCTATAAAGAAAACATGAATTCAGAGATCATCACCTTTTGATCAATTTATTAGTTGAACTATAATTGCGTCCGCCATACCGGTTTGAAGTTACTTTTCTTTTTCATTATTCGCTCCAGCTCGCTTTGCCGTTTCTCATACTCTGGATCCGTCTCCTCTGGATCTGGGTCAGGCAGTTGATATCGAAAAGAAAGAAGGTCGAAAGATTGTCCAGCAGATTTGTACTGCGCATCAGAAAGATTTTCCCAATTTTCGACCTTCCTTCTTTCCTCTTCGATTGTCTTCTCCCACCACTCATGCYCTTCAACCGTCATTCTTGGTTTGGTCTGGAGTATAACAAGTAATGCCSGGTTTTTCACAAATTTTTGATATTTGAAAATAGCTATCAAAATATTGAAATAATATATTTAATCGTTCTTTACCTTTGACASCGCATCTTTCATTCTCTCCACGGTTGGACATTTGGCTAGGTCAGGCCTTAAGATGGCGGGATTTCCACGTGGCAACATGCACAGACTTATGTGAGGGGGATTAGGAAGCCACTCCTTTGACCCAGAATTAGCCCAGTTTCTGTACGTCATCTCCACATCTCCTTGTCCATTGAGTTTGAACCGGAATGCATGTGGATGACTGTGGTTCTTATAAGTTGCAATATAAGGGCTAATCCATGACTTTATGTCATAGATGTTCTCAACATAAGTCGTAATAGGCMTTGGAGTAAAAGCTTCCTGAATGACCGCCTGCAACTGTTGTCTAGTCACCGCTTTGTTCTTATTAAGTGCCACAGAAATCCTGCTAAACATCTGAAGAGAAAATAGTAGTAGGTTTACTAATCCGTATATAGTTATTGTCGATCACGAAAACTGCAATTACTAGGTACCTGGTCGATGTCTTCATGGGTGTGACCGACCATGAGATAAGATAATCGAACCTATCGTAAAAGGCAAAATTATGATAAGTTCTGGGTTATRATTGTTGTTCATATCAGAAATGATGAAGACTTCAAACTTACCTTTTGAAAGACTTTGGCTTTGACAAGCAGAGCGCAAAAACCAAGGATATATATATTCTTGCAATCCCTGTAGCAGTTGTCCAACTGCAAGTAAAGGGTCGGAGGTAGCCTTTTTCGCTGAAATTGTAAATGTACAATGAATGTTGTTGATACATATATGACTTGAAATGCTTAATGGAAAACGAAGAAACATGATTTCGCTTACCGTATTCAATATGTGACGAAAGCATGAGGTCAGAAAATTGACTGTGGCATTTGCATCTTGTGGCCAACGTAGGAAGTCAAGGAAGCACATGGACAAATTGAGCCCATGCGACAAGATACCTGTCACATGTGTCTTCATAAAATGGTCGTTTTCTCCCYCTATCTWTATTCACATAAGAATAATGCMATAATATGTCTCAYATAAAGCGAGCGGATGAACACGGTACAGGCAAACAGACCGAAATTTCCTAACTTACGACATTACCTTTGAAGACTGTAGCCAATGTGGAATTGCAGTCTTTGCTTGATCCATTCCATCTATTATTATCGATAAGTATTTATCAGGTCTCTTCTCTGCTTTTTTTTGATGTTTATAATATTTTTTTCTTTCAGCTCTGTGTAGAAGTTGAAGTAATATATTCTGAAGTTATTGTATGTAGATAACGAATGGCCTAACGCACACTCAGTTAATAACGGCATAAGTACTTACGCTTGTTGATCCAGGTGATACTGTTTCTTTTCTATCCATGTCAACSTTTTCTCTGAGTTTTTGGTCTCACGGATAAGGTCTCCTATTAATAGGCACACTCCACACTTCGAAAATCGATTTCTCTGTTGRTTATAATTATATTAAGAAATTTGTTGTTTGATTCAATGCTGGTATATGGATGATATAAACTATAAATTACCTATTGCTAATGCCCATCGTACAAGCCGTTGAATTGTTATTTTGTAAGTTTTACTTTCTTTCTGAGATATGTTTTATTACATACAGTTACCTTCGGAATTATAACCTCTGGGAAAGACGACAACCACATTCTTCTGAATTGCGTTGCAGACAGTGGACGTTCTGTTGCCCCTTCTAGATACGTTCTATAAACTTTTCTAATGGTTTGGCAAGCCGGTAGTTCTACGCGAGGGCTATCTGGCATTCGATTCCCCATAGCCACGGAATAGTCATGGAACCAGAGCTCCGCTTCCATTACCCGCTCRGACTGTTTTGTCTGGCCAGTACGTCCGTGTATGGGAGTTCTTATGCCCCTTTCAAATTTGTTTTTCCAATCGTGAAACCTTTGAAGTTTTGGCATAGTCAAAAGGTCAATCAGAAAGTTTATTACTCATAGTTTTCAGTAAACTTCTATCACCCACCTGGTATATGAGAGACCRTAACTGAATATCCACGCTTTTTGGCATAACTCTTTTCCTTCAATCCTATATTCGTACACGTCTCTGCTATCYCGTCGTTTCAAACACAGTTGGAAAAAATTGAGCAACCACTGTGCCTGACGTTCACTATCCATATCAATGAATTCAACCCTGGCTTTAAGAATGTCTGCTTTGGTGAGAATCAAGTGAATGCAATTGCGACTACAACACTTGAAACCATTCATAGCATTTTCAATATRGGATAGAGTCATTTTTACTTCACTCTTTCGGATCTTAGGGAGAGACTTTTTTATTTTCGATTTCTTTGTAATTTTTGACTTGGTTGCATCGCACTGTTCTGGTAAGTAATTATCCTTAATGGAATAAGAATTAAAATATTGAAACTCCTCACTCTGGCTGCCATTCAGTGCATCAGAGATTTTATTATTTATTTTTTATTAAAATCGTTGAGTAATGCGTTTGACATGCATGGCTTACATACCCTTCTATCTTCATCAAAGCTGCCGTCAACATCAAAATCGTCCTCTTCTGAACTAGACCTCCTGTCTTCATCAAAACTCGAGTCAATATTATCTTCTTCAAAGCTCTAAAGAAGTGAAATTTTTGTCGTGAGAATGTCATCAATGTATTAAAGAGCTTGGTTTTTACGTACCTCAGAAAAATGGATTTCATTGTCAGACTSGGAAAGTCCCGCCAAATGGTTGCAGGCGCCACCACACGAACAACTTTTTTTACTGTTTCCCATGTTCTTCCGAAAATAATGTACGGATAAATTTAACGAATTTTGCTTTACACGTGAAGTGTAAGTAATGCGGTGAGAATAAATCCAGAAAATAACYACTTCTACTATAACATGTTATTCAGTCCCTTATCMGTACCTAGTTWACCCTGCAGTGAAGTATATTTGCAATGATGTCTCAATGACTACCCTTCAGGCCTGATAACCATCTTATGTCAACCAGCCTATGTACAAGGATCCTYGAGATGATGTAATTAAAACTATCATGTTACTGCMTTACGCGCGCAAAATTATGTTATGTTTAAAACTTTAGTTGGAATTAAAAATTGGGTATTAGAAATATACATTGTGCCCAAGGAACGCATTATCATAAAGATAGCTTTGTACCTTATTCTAGATACAAGAAAGAAGAAAAATCCGCGTATCTTTTGAGATCATAAAAAAGGCGCAAATAGTTTTACGCGCCATCGTTTTGAATTTGGCGCCAAAAACTAATATATATATAATCGGGTATCACATACTTATCGCCAAGTCTCTGATTGAACCGCCTCGCGCGTATGCACTTTCGTTTCCGCAAAAGAAAAATAGTCTTGCTGCAATGTATAGAGTCCCATTTCGAGAAATACATGTCGCAAATAGTGTGCCTGATCATCGTTCGTGCGACGAAGATGTTCTTGAGAATGCCAAGGACATTCGAACAAGAATATACGGCCTAATGAGGCAGACGCCGGAGTCGGTGGAAGTCATTCCTTACGGAAAAGACAAAGATTTGGACAGACAACTCAATACATATTTGCAGATTTATAAAGGAATGACAAGAAGTAATGTAAGTTTTGCTTGATCTCCGTCAATTCGAAAATAAGTGATTATTTTGCGTATGTAAAACATAGAAATGTACAATAATGTGATTTTGCTTATATGTTTTTTCGGATTGTTTTTTTTTGAACAGGACCTCAGGAAGCAAAAACTCCTTGCAAGGTTGAGCAGACGTTGCTGGCAGAAAGTGCTTAACCTAGAAAGGCTCCTTGAAGGGGAAAGTGCACATAAACTGTCACGGTCAAACAATCTTTCCTCCTATGCTTTTCGGTGGCTCAAAGCCACCATGACGGAAGAGGAAGTCTTCCAAAAACTTTCCGCWTTGGAGTCAGGRCAGATGGACGTCAAGACGTTAAATAAGTTGAACAAGGTAAAACAAAATATCTAACATGTTTCGACGTATTCGTTTTGCTTATAACTGGTTTCTACATCAAAAACACTGTAACCTTAGATGTCAAACTTTCATGACTTCTTAGTCTACAGGATCGAATTCTACCCATGCAAACGACGTTCCCAATCATTGTAAGGATTGTGCGAAATATAAATTGCAGGTAATTTTCCCTTCAGACTTTTCTCTTCTTTTCTTCTTTAACGAAATATTTCGCATATTGCATGCATATTCAAGATCGAAGATTATGATAAGAAGATGGCGGACCTTCAATTGCATCAAGATGTTTTGGACGATGAAATTGAAATGGTATGTAGAGTTGCGAACAACACCTGCGATTAATGTAAAAGTAGCTTCCCCTTAACAATCTTYATTTTTTTTTCGTAGAAAAAAAGATCAGAAAATTCCCTGAAAGCAGAAATTGTGGCTTTAAGGAGAAGTTTAAAAACGGAAAGGGAAACTATTATATACCTTCGTTCATCGCTCGAGAGAGTATGTATAAATCGTGAATGGTTTGAGGAACGAGCAATAGATTTTCTAGTACGGGGACGTGAAGTGGAAGTGTGATTAACTTATTTCTAAGATCTTGCACATTTCAAAAATCAAGTAATTTTAAGGAGTGATAATGCTGCTGAAACTGATGTAAACATACTTTTACTTAGGAACTCCGTGAAAAACAAGCAATCCAAAATCAATTTGACGTTCAACAGGAGAGAAATTATAAAGCTATCGAATTATATGAGCAGGTACTTATATTTAGCATACAGAATTGGACCAGGCTATATAGAAACCGCAGAGAGTTTGTTTGTTAGTCATTGGTTTTAGGGCGTGAGGCTACTTAATTTTGAAGTGGACATTATCTAGTACCTGCGGTGGTCCATGGATCAGGACTACAACCTAGATTAATGCTTACTTTTTTCTTTTTTTTTTTAGAGAATACAGAAGGAGAAGGAAAGGACGTTGGAGGCGAGGGCATTGTACATTAGCCAAGAGACAGAAGATTGCACTGCTTACAAAKTACGGACATAAGTATTCATATAAGAATAATTCTTGTGAAAATTCCTTTTGAAAAAACTTTCCTCATTGACGACCTCCATTAACTGAATGTTGGTTTATATAGAAGAGCAACTTTCACATGCAAGAATTGGACAATCAAGAGGTAAATGCTTCACATCAACGTTTTGTTGTCTTATTTTTTTTAATGTTTTTACATAGCTCTCGCATATCATAGAAACACTCCTTTTAATAGTCAGTGTTCTTTCAAAGTTGATGTTATACTAAAAAGTCGACCTAGCTTAGCGTCTGGTTTCAGTATCTACTAGTATAGCCTACTAAACGCGGCGCAATATTAACAGGTCGTCCGTCATATGCGGCCAATTATGAACTGCTAATTCGTTCGGTTATCGTTTTTCTTCAGGAACAATTAGTTCATAGMKTAAAGAAGACTGCAAGAAACTGCTCCTTTGAGACTACCGCGACAGAAATACAGGTTTGAGCAATATATTTTGCTAGCCGTTTCAGATTTTGTGGTCATATTAAAGAGAATTTTCGGTATAGTTGACATTTACTTGTTGACATTGACTAGATTAATGATACTATCAACCTAATGATGGAAGAAGTGAGCAGCCATGAGGCTCTAGAAACCATCGATAAACCAATGGTAGTTGAGGTCAGTACTTGGATTGTAAGGGGGGAATTAATATTCCGCGATGAAAATCTTGCTAATATGTATACTAGTACATGTATAGCAAGCACAAACATCGAAAAACTTATAATCACTCAATGGGAATTTCATAGAATATACTAGCTTTATTACTTTCACACAACAGAGTACAAGCAATGTCGAAATTGACTCCGAGTGGCTATGTGGCAATGATGACCAACTTGAGGTAAAACTTTCTTTTTTTGAGTTTTAGGTTGCCTACATTTTCCCATTATTTTATCGATTGTTGTAGAAACCGGAGGAAAATAGAATDGTTGAAGAGAAAAGAGGAAAAAGACAATTCAAAAGAAACAAAGAAACTGTAAGTGGTCGAAGATTGAGAGTTAACACTGTACAACGAATTGTCAAAATGTTCAGATTATTTTCTTAGAGGTCTCAATTAAAATATTTCAATCTTTTATGTTTTTCACCATAGGAACTACGCRAATCAAAGAAATCCAAGCACGCAAATGAAGACGAAAGCTCACAAGATCTGCCATTAGTAAATATAAATTTATTAAAAATTGTATGAAATTATGGGATGTCAGTTGTGCTTGTTATGCMACGCTTTACAAGCATTGTCCTCGTGTGTTTTCAAATTGTCCTTCTTGAAATGCCTCTTTCTTCAGTGATCATCTGATAAAATTATTTGCTTTTTTCTCTCATTATAGAAACAATTTGTYGCTGTGGCTTACACCGACAGCACGACATTTTACATTGGACATGTCCTCTCAGAAGAAAACAATATGCTGTCTGTCAGCTTTTTGGCCAACAGCAAAAATTGTACGAACACATACGAGTGGCCAAAAACAGAGGTTGTCCAACAAATATACAAACACCAAGTGTTTCAGGACAGCCTCTGTCCCATTATACGGCATAAGCAAATGRTGTTTGATGTGTGTATCAACAGCTTTAATAGCTGCAGATCAAAATTGGAATTAGTGGAGAGGCATTCCCAGGTAAGTAAAGAATATTTTCAGCAAAGGCATAGTAAAAACGTTTACATTCATCTGTTGCATTGATATAACATCTCACTTCCTTCGGAAAGCAAAGTAGGAATTAAGAATGAATGTTGATCAAACACCGTCTTTCAGGTKGAAAAAGTGTGGTCCGATAGTGAAGCGCCCCATCGCAGTGTAGGAAGTGTGAGTTGGAAGTCAATGAAGACACTGCAGATTGACATGTCCAGGGAAGACGAGGCGCTCATGATTTCCTTGATGAATGCCAATGACTGGCAGCCTGGTTGGCTAAATGATGAAGTGAGTCCAAATCTCCTTACAAAGACACTACACGTTATAGGCTCGACTCTCAAATTATTCTCAAACAATGAATGTTAGCCTTTTCTTATTACGTCAATCAATTCGGCTGCAATCCTGTGATTTCATATATTATGCTTTCGTTGTATTAATAGGTTATGGATGTCTACATCAGCCTGCTTGCGAAGAAAGCTAACAAATTAGTAAGTTGACGCATMCTGATATGCACGACTTGCGAAAATTCCTTCTTTAAATTTAAATGCAAATGGCTTCCAATTTTTTAGAAAAAGGGTGTCATCGMAGGAAATTGTCATTTCTACGACCACGTCAAAAAAAACAAAACATGGCGACCGAAGGTATTTTATAAACACAAATTCAATGCGTTTCTCTTACTTGGGGAAATGGACATTGAACATTGAGCATTGCTTTTMACAGATAATTATGAGTAACTACAAATTGTTGATTTTTCCTGGCCAATTTGGTGTGGCAAATCATTGGAGATTGGGCGTAAGTACTTCAACCTTAGGACAAAAATTCTTCAATAACACTTTTCTAACACAGGCATCACCTTTGATCTCAKGATCAAAACTGTTTGACGAATATTGTTTTTTTTAGGTTGTTAACTTGGAAAGCAAAACGATCTCTCTGATCGATCCCCTTGGTTTATGCGAAGACAATGCCCAATTCTTTGATAGTATTCGGTAAGAAAGAAAACTGATTTAATTTTCGCCATTTATGTAAATATACTGAGTGGTAAAAAACATAAATTCGTCAATTCATAAAATTCAATAATGTAGGTCATTTCTCGAAAAGCGGAATGTGGAAGGACACTTTACAAAGAAAGCCTTGCCACACGCCAAGCAGCAAGACAGTGTGAGCTGCGGTGTGTTTTGCTTAAAAGTAAGTATAATATTACAACTGGAAAAGACAACGAGCGCCGATATTAAGCATGTCAGGGAGATTATTTCCTTTAGTAGGATTGTGAATTCAGGKATCTTATTGTTTTCTGATTTAATCAGTTTGCAGAGGGCATCATGTTTGGCACTCCGATAGTGGAATTTTCTAAGGTCAGTAAAACGAGTACACAAATAAACTTTGATTTTRGAGATTTTGCATTATATTCAGTGACAGTASATTATAAATCAAATATTTATCATTTCAGGAGGAAATTGACGAATACCGATATGTTATTGCCGAGGCCTTGTCCAGATAGATTTCTGTATGAGTTGCACTACCTCATTTATTTAAACCAATAGACAGAGTGTGTGTGCACATAGTTTAACTGACACGGTATCGGTTTATCTTTTTCACTAGCCTCTTTTAAAAAATAACATAATTTAGTGCCTATATCAAACCATACGTATATTATAGATCTAAAAAAATGAATCACTAGATCAAGAAGTGGCCGTTTTAGCACAAAGAGCAAATCGAATTTTGGCGCGCTTTTCTATAGTGGTATGTTGTCAGATCGACTGCTCAAGCTATTTAAGGTCTATAAATCTACGACCAAGCAAATGATAATAGCTACTACAAAGATTTCATCTGATCACTGCAGGTCTTTTCTCTTAGAAATTAGAGTGACAAATGACAGTGACTATACCGCATATTAAAATTTGGTCGCCRAGTCSCTTGACCTTCGGGTGACAAACAAAATATCTATTGAAAACTTGAGAGTGTGGTTTAAGCTTTTTACACTGCCACTGATTTATATTTAACCACTCTAGATTTGAATTTAAACAATTATTGTGGGTTTTCTTTTGGAGAAAAAAATTGTTGGCTGAATCATTGTAAACTAAATAATTGGCGCCAATTTCTTTGGCGGAAAATTCAGCAGATTACGACTTATCTTCAATATTGCGTGCGACACATCAGAAACCTCGGAGCAGCTCATCATATGTACTTAGGCCATCAATTCATTCATGATCAATGAATACTTGTTTGTTTCTTCGCCGCTTTAATTTCTAGGTTTCTCTCGACTTAGTCTGATTATCAGTACTTATTCAATGTAATACATATATTTCTTTGGAATGGGAATCGCCGTCAGTGCACTTATGCATCAAGACCAGCATCTTYACTATTTCATGAAATCACTTGTCAGACTTTGTCGGTTGTGTTTTTTTTTTTTGGCGCACATTTTGAGAATCGGACTCTTGACTTCCATCATTGACATCTCTAGGCCTCAAAAGTGCTTGATATCATGTTTGTGCGATGTTTAGCAATATTGGAGCCRTTWTGGTTTTGAACRTTCAGTAGAAGCGAGAGACATCATCAATGCTGGCTTGTATGATTTTAAATAAGTACAATTCACGTTTTCATCTAGCAATATAATGTGTTACACGTACAAATCCCTCTATCGATTTCATGTATTCTAAATGTAGGTATCTCCAAGAACATGTAAATAGATTTTTAAAACTAGTCTCTTTTCATAAAAACGACTTGTTTATGATTTGTAAATAAAAGATTGATYGTATCCTATGAATTTTACAATCGTAAATAGCCGCACTACAGGTCCTGCAGTGATTTGATCCGGGGATTTGATATGCCTTTTCGCCCGTTTCTTTAAGCAWATAGAGTACARAAAGAATAAAAGATCACCGTGTGTAAAGTCTGCAAATATCTAATAAAAACTGACTGTKTCAAAAACAGTGCAGTAATTAAAATTTGACTGTATAGAAATAGTATCTGTCATATGCCGGACAATATGCCCTTTTGCCCCTTGAAATCAAATCAGCTTTGCAACGCCTAGCTCGTCCAGTAGGCTTTTTTCGTTCTGCACGTTGGAGACCACAGAGTCAGTGAAGTGTGACAGCCGGCAAACCGCAACATCACCGAAAACAGTAAATTATCTTAACAGAAGTTTAGAGAAGTTTAGTTTTTTTTTGCAATAAACTGCTTTATGGCATTCTTCTTCTTCAAATATTTCAGTTGGAAATAATACAATCTTTCGTGTTCTGGTGCTGATATAACGTTCAAGTGATTTATCTGATTTTCGAAGATTTTAAGAGGTTTATCACGCCAACATTTTCGCCGGTGTATGATTCTCACAGATACATGTATATGTCAATTTGTAGTCAMAATGRAAATTGCTAAAAGTTCCAAAATGGTTTGCTTGATCTTGTAAGAACAGTCAAAGCACTAATTTTGAAGCAGCGTTGTGAAAGGCAGATTCTGATCGATTTACATAGTGAAATTTGACACCTCGCATCGTCTTGTCTCTACTTTGCGCGCTTTTCGGCTGAACGATAATTTTGACAAACACCGGAGTTTATAATGTGATTTAATAGAAGCGACCCAAATCAAATCATTATTTTRAACGAGTRGAAACGCGTTTAAAACACRGATAGAATGCGGGAGCTTGACAAGACTTCGKACACATCGACAAGATAATTTGATGTCTGACTACTAYGGAGTTGAGTTGTTTACATTCATCTGTATCAGCAGAACTCTGGTATCAGTTCAAGGAAAAYTTGCGATCCTTTACAGCGTCCTGTGMTCATGGTAAGCTACTGTCTGCTACTTTGTGCAAAGATGTGTTTGCTACAAAAATCATGCATCAAAATTTCCGTGGCTMARCTCGACAAGTTGACATTATGGCGGGGAATTTTTTGGCGGGAATTCAGTACGATTAYTAGGTGAGTACATTTCATCATGATGTTCGTGTCGTCGCGTTCGGAAAGTATGTAAAGAGAACTTTTCAATTCACTTTCATTATATCAGTAAAAGTGTGTGAGCTTTCATAGTGAAGTTCGTCGTTGCTTCGATTCACCAGAAAATTTAGTTGTAGTAATAGTGATGCAATCGACGGTATTTATTAAACGTTGACTCCGGAATTTTCGCTTGCTCTCTTCGAGAAATGTCTTCGTATTTACGGTTTCATGCCAAAAAGTCCGAAAAAAGGATATTTTTGTTTAAAAAGGTGAAGTACATTTTTTGTGTTGATAATACTAAACTGACGATAGACAAAGCTAATGAGCGATGTCAAGAGCAATGAGTGAAGCGAGGTCATTCGCTGGTTTGCGGGATAGCACGCATGTTCTCAACTTTGATTGTAAACTATGCGCGTTTATCCCGCACGGCTGATTATTCTTAACACAAGAAGATAAAACCTGGTTTGCATATAATCGAAAAAGTTTCTCGCTCGTTTTCGATCATATGGAATCAAACCATTACAGGTTCTAACTTTCCGATCGCGGTTTCCCCATGATCGCGTACGATCGGGAAAAGAAGTTCCTCGATCGTGTGAACCAGCCATAGTTAGTAGACTATGACCAGTCTTAGGACATTTATATACTCCCGCTTGAGTTCAGTCAAGACTTGAAATATTTCAATTTTTATGTTGTTAAATTCACAAAGTTGTTACATA